GGGGAGAAACTACAGCAAGAAAACACAACGAAAAGAAAAAAACGAAAAATCAGTAATACGAACATATTAAAAAATGTATAATTTAAATGAAGACTGCATGTTGTTCAGAGTTGGAGAGTGCTGCTTGATGTGGAGGGTTTCTTTGACCAATAATTCCAGGTCAGTGTTAGACTTGCAGAGGATAGAGAAATTTGATAATATAGGTTGATGTCCTGTTTCTTCACTGTGTTGGCATATAGAGGAAACACAGGGGTTATTCAATTTTTTTTTGCATTTTAATGGAAATTCCCATATGTTCATAGGCTCTGACTTTTAAATGGTGTTTGGTTTTCCCAATTTAGGAGGCCTTACAGTCTCCACACGTGTAAAGATAGACAAGCCAAGAACAATTAGGAATGGGGAGGAGATCTTTAGTAGGGAAGAAATTTTTTATGCGTGATGTGGATTTAAAAACTAATCTTAAATCCACTTGAGGGTAGTAACGACCAAGTATGCGTTTAAGTTGATTTTTAAAATTTAAGCTTTGTTTGCCAGTATAAGGAGGACACGAGTATATAGTAAATTTAGGTACAGTTGGTATCTTAATTGGATTTGTGAGTTTCTTTGTTAGGAAGGTTTTGGTAATGTTTTCTAATAAGTGTTGTGGATAGCAGTGACACCCTGAAATATTTATCATAAATGCAGTGCTATATTAATGATACTAATGAATATAACAGTATCTGAGAGACAGCAAGGAGTCTATCATTGCAATTCCTTTCATTTCATTAAACATCCTTTGCCTACACCAAGCCCTGTCTCCCCAGTTACTCATCAAACTCTCTCTTGAATTCTCCCAATCCTGTTGCATCTATCACCTCTGAAGACAGTCTATTTCAAAGGCTGACTACCCTGTTAGAAAAATGAAATTGCCTAATATTCTGACAACAACTACCATGCCAAATCTTAAATCTTTATCCTCTAGTCTTACCACTCTTACCAGCAGTATGAAAATAGTTGATGCATCGATCCTATCTATTCCCATAATACTTTTGAACAATTCAATCAGATCCTTTTTAAACCTTCTTTTACCAAGAAAAAATATTTTTAAGGACCTTAATCTGGTCTTATATTGCAGCCTTTTGATCCCAGGAATCATTCAAGTAGCCATCCTTTAAACATCTTCCAACAACTCGGTCCCCTTCTTAGTAAGTAGCCCAAGACTGAATATGATACTTTAAATGAAGTCTTAACCAGAAATCTGTACAGAGAAGTGATAATCTTTCACTTATGTTCATTATTCCTGTAAATACAACCAAATGTCCTATTTGCTTTCCCACTGGCAAAAGCACATTACTTGGAAGGCTTAAGACTAAGAGACTGATTGTGACTAAAACACCAAGATAATTTTCTTCTGTAACACTGATGAGTTGATTTCCATCAAGGTGGTAATTATAGCTTAAATTAGGATAGCCTACATGCCTTAATTACCTTGCACTTAGAGTAATTAAATGCTATCTGTCATTTATTTACCCAGTTTTCTAAATGATCCAAGTCCTTTGGAAAACCACAGCACCCTCCTCACAGCCAATTACTATCAAAACTGATATTATCAGCAAACTTTGGCCAGTTTGTTGGTCATTCCCATATCAATATTGTTAATGTATATCAAAAAGAGTAAAGATTACAGCACAGATCCCCGAGATATCCCACTTGCAACTTCATTCTACTGTGATTGAACCTCATTTTTTATAATTCTTTGCTTCCTTTCCTCCAATCAGCCCTTAATTCATTGCATTGACTTACTTTCCACACCCAAAGAGATCATTTTCTTTACTAGTTTTTCATATTGCACTTTGTCAAAAGCCTTTCAGAGGATACAGGTATATCAAATCCACACATTTATTGTTATCAACATAAATATAAGCAGTGTCAAATTCCTAGAAACATTTAATAATACTAATTAAATACTTATTTTAATATGAATATTGGTAATCATGGAAGTGAGATAGGAGATTTAAACAAATTCAATTGTTAGTGTCATTGGAATTTAAAATATGTACAAACTTAATGTAAAATGAGAATGAGGTCTATTGATATTGGTTTTATCTACAGAAAAATTGGATAAAAGTCTAAAGAGGTTATAATTTCTATGTATTGGTTAGGCCACATTTGGAGTATTGTGTTCAGTTTTGGGCTCCTTACCTTAGGAGAGACATTGAATTGTTGGAAAGGCTTAAGAGGAGGGCTACTAGGATGATACCTAGGAAGGAAAGGTTGTCTTATGACAGTTTATTTTTTTTTAGAAAAGATGTGTTAGGATCTGTTTGAGGTATTTAAGATTGTTAAGGGAGTGGATTATGTTGATGCGTTATGTTTTAATATTTTATGGTGGGAATGGTAGAGACAGGAGACACAAGTATAAATTTTGGTAGGGTTGGAGCCATCTTTATCTAACAAGGTGGTGGCCTTGGAAATGTGTTGCCTGTAAATGTGGTGGATGCAGTAAATTAAGGGAAGGCTTGATAAATATTTAATTGATAAGGCCTAGCTTTGAGTGTTTGATTTAGTTTAGTGGATGGAATGGACTAGATGGGCCAACAGGTTATTTAGTCTTAAATTAGATGTTATACACCAGATCTTGTTAATATGTTTTAAGATATTTTTTAGAATAGACACTTTTTGTGTTAGATCGCCTTAGGTAAAATATTTACCCAACGAAGCTACCTATTATAATATTACAATTAAAAGTTGGATTATTTTATGTGTAAATAAAAATATTAGGACATAGAATGCTTAGATTTGTTTAATACTTTACACAATGCTTACATGTTATCTTGTAAAGAGAATTACTATTATTTTATTGATGAGGTAACTAAATTACTGTTCATTCAGTTCTGTTTTTTTTCTACAAGTGGGTTGTCTGGTAATACATCCTGGCATACCTTGTCTCTATATTATTGTACTTATCTTATTCTATGACAGCCAGGAATGGGGTGAATACTGGAGATCAGTAATTGAACACAAAAACGAATACTTCATATTTGTATAAATACAAAAATGAATACAGGAAAAATGCCAAATATTCAAATACGAATACATAGGAATGTATTCATGGGGATACATTCATGAATATTTTATCAGGTAATTGTAAAACAGCAGATGATAAATTTCAATACTTTTATTTTATGAAACAAACTTTTTAGGAACTGAAACAAACAAAAGCTGAACAATTAATAACATTTCAATACTTCTGTTTTTCGAAATACAATAACAAAGTTTTTGAATAAAATATATATTTGTAAAGTAAACTTATAGATATTATAACTGTCCATTTGTCTTTATGAATATGAGTCTCTCAAATGTCTTGTCAGTGAGGCAACAGTGATCAGATCTGAGGGTTTTGCCTCTGATGCTAAATAAATGCTCAATGGGGGCAGAGGAGCCTGGAACATTCAGATAGCATTTGGCTAGTAGAAATAGGATAAGAAAGTTTTTTCATGGATGTTTCAATAATCTAGAGGGTTGCTTTCTTCAGGAATGTAAGGACCATCGAGGTAGCTGTTGATCTCTGTATTCTCTGAAGATGAAGTGGCTGGTTTCAAGCAGCAAAGAAACTTAAGAGCTTTCCCTACCAAAGTATTTGAATACAAGTACGAATACTCCTAAAGCTGTATTCAAATATGAATACCCCATGTCTGATGACAACACCTTTAGGGACTTTTTTCCAAACTCTGTATGGTTTGGCAAACAAATTGGGTTCATCCTCACAAAATACACTAGATTCCTGCTATTATTATAGATGTGGTGAAGGCGACAAGAGCACTATTTCAAAATGACCTTCACTTTTCTCCTGTGTTCTTCATTATTTGATTCTCTAAAGATTAAAAAAATGAAACAGTATTACTCAACACAAAATAGGAGTTCCAGAATCATTGCTATCTTTAAAATATACCAAAACACAATGCTGGACAACTTAATCATCTAGTCATAAAACAAACAGAGTCCCCTTGATTATTGCAGTGTGAACTGAGTGCTGACAAAACATGGAAGGGAACCATGAAAACAAACTAGTTAATTTCCAAAGGAACTTGGCATATTTGTACACAAGGCAAGTTCATCAACTAGCACATTTATCAAAGCAAACAAACTGAACTGAGATCACTTGAAATAAACCTGGTATGAATACTGCTTTACTGTCATATGCTTAAATAATCTTTCATAGGGTGCATTACATTAGCCATTGCTTGAAATAAA